GGAGGCTGAGGTGGGAGAATTGCTTGATCCCGGGAGTTCAAGACCAGCCTGGGCAAGATGGCAATACCACCCCCCCATCTCTACAAAAACAATAATTAATTAAGAAATTAGCCAAAGCCAGAGCAGGGGCTCATGTCTATAATCACAGCACTTTGGGAGGCTGCAGTGGGCAGATTGCTTGAGTCCAGGGATTTGAGACCAGCCTAGGCAACATGGCAAAACCCCATCTCTACTAAAAATAGAAAAAGAAAAATTAGCTGGATGTGGTGGCACATGCCTGTGGTCCCAGCTACTCAGGAGACTGTGGTGGGAGGATTGCTTGAGCCCAAGACGCTGAGGCTGCAGTGAGGCATGATCACACCACTGCACTCCAGCCTGGGCAACCAGAGTGAGATCCTGTCTCAAAAACAAACAAACAAACAAAAACCACTTTAGCTGAATGTGGTGGTGTACACCTCCACAGCTACTTGGGAGGTTGTGGCGGAAGGATCACTTGAGCCCAGGAGATGAAGGCTGCAGTGAGCTGTGATTGTGCCACTGCACTCCAGCCTAGGCAAGAGAGTGAGACTCTGTCTCAAAAAGGAAAAAAATAAAAGGACAAATCCACAAAAAGTTAGAAATAACCCAGATGTCCATCAACAGATGAATGGATAAATTGTCCTCTATATATATACAATTCAGCCATTAAAAGGAATGAAATATCGATACTGGATACAAACCTCTATGAACCTTAAAAACATTCTTAGTGAAAGAAAATAGACATAAGAGGTCACATTTTGCAATTCCTTTTTTTAAATTAAAAAAAATTTTTTGAGACAGAGTTTCACACTAGTTGCCCAGGCTGGGGTTCAATGGCATGATCCTGCCTCACCGTAACCTCCGCCCCTTGGGTTCAAGCGATTTTCCTGCCTCAGCCTCCCAAGTAGTGGGGATTACAGGCATGCACCACCACACCCAGCTAATTTTTTTGTATTTTTAGTAGAGACGGGGTTTCTCCATGTTGGTTGGGCTGGTCTCTAACTCCTGACCTCAGTTGATCCGCCCACCTCGGTCTCCCAAAGTGCTGAGATTACAGGCGTGGGCCACTGCATCTCGCCCCATGTGTGGTAATTATTGAATGTGTTTGGTGTGTTCGTCATGGGTGATGAAAAATTTTGAGACTAGAGAGACGTGATGGTTACACAACATTGTGGATGTACAATGCCACTGCATTGTGTACTTTAAAATGGTTAATTTTGTTACATGAATTTCACCTAAATTAACAATAACAACAACAACAACAAAAACTTAAGCCAGCACTTGGTTTGGCTATTATGGAGTTTTGTGAGAAACAGTGGTTCATCTCCCAGAGAACTGGCCCTAGTTTCCTAAGAAGGCAAAAGGAGACTCCCATGAACGGTACACAGGACCTCTCTGCACTATTTTTTTTGCCACTTCTTGTGAGTCTGTAATTATTTCAAAATAAAAGTCTAAAAGAAAAATAAGGACATTTGTGAATGTGGCTGCCCCATGCTTCCCACCCTCTGGCTGACACTCAGAGACTGATCACCTCTTGGAGTCCTGGAACTTATCCCAGGTTTTAGACCCTGAAGGGCCTGTCTGTGGCTGGCGTCTGCAGGCAGCATCCCGAGCCAGCTCAGAGCATAGTTTAACTTTCACTTTTGTTTTCTCCAGAGGAGCCAGGAAGAGAGCTGTAACTAGCAGCCACTCTTACTCCCTTGGCCTTGGTGCCTGTTTGCACTGGCTACAGCAGGGCGCTGGTCCCTGCAGTCACTGCCTCCTACACAAAGACCCTGTCTCTGAGTTCTGTAGCCTACTGTTCAGCCCCAGGTTTGAAGATGGATGCCCTGGATGCTTCAAAGCTGCTGAATGAAGAGCTGTATTCAAGACAGCTGTGAGACTTGAGGTGGGGTGGAGAGTGGGCTGGTCTTCAGACCTCTGATACACAACTGCTTGCCTCCTGCTTCCCATCCACAGGTATGTGCTGGGCTCACCTGCCATGCAGAAGATTCGGGGAGCCAGGGTCCTGCTGTCAGGTCTGCAGGGCCTGGGGGCCGAGGTGGCCAAGAACTTGGTCCTGATGGGGGTGGGTAGCCTCACTCTGCATGATCCCCACCCCACCTGCTGGTCTGATCTGGCTGCCCAGGTAAGTGTCCTGGGGGACCTATGGGCTGCCAGACCAAGGTAGGGGCACAGCCCAAGAGGAGTGTCTTTACTCAGGCATACTGGCTCTCTCCCTAGTTTCTCCTCTCAGAACAGGACTTGGAAAGGAGCAGAGCCGAGGCCTCTCAAGAGCCCTTGGCTCAGCTCAACAGAGATGTCAAGGTCATCATGCACACGGGTGACATCACTGAGGACCTACTGTTGGACTTCCAGGTAAGCCCAGGCCTGCAGCCCTCAAGAGCAGGAAGGGCTGGTCGGTGGTTTTGGCCCTGCTGATCAGTGTCTACCCAGGTGGTGGTGCTGACTGCTGCGAAGCTGGAGGAACAGCTGAAGGTGGGTACCTTGTGCCATAAGCATGGAGTTTGCTTTCTGGCGGCTGACACCCGGGGCCTTGTGGGGTGAGTAAGACTGCCTGCCTAGCCTACCACATTACGGCCAGCAACTGGCCCCATGCTGTCCTCAGCTCCAGGTTTGCCCCAGTACCCCTCCAGTCAGCTTCAGGTCTAGCCCGGCATGCCTTTCTGATTCTCATCCCCAGTCCTGCCCTCTGGTTCCTCCACCCTAGCCTCCAGACCTGCTCCAGTAACCCTCTCAAACTTCTAGTTCCTAAGCCTCTCCTAGCATTTCTTTCCCAATTCTGGCCCTCTGGCCCTGCCCTACTATCCCCTATCCTTAAGCAGAGCCTGTGAGCTGCCTCAGTGACCCCTACCATCCCATCTCAGGCAGTTGTTCTGTGACTTTGGTGAGAATTTCACTGTGCAGGACCCCACAGAGGCAGAACCCCTGACAGCTGCCATCCAGCACATCTCCCAGGTGGGTGCTGAACTGTGGACACTCACCTGCTGACCAAGGAGAGGCTGCCAGGGCCTGCGGAAGGCAGGTCCAGGCACCCCTGAGCCAAGCTTCCTCCTACCCAGGGCTCCCCTGGTGTTCTCACTCTGAGGAAAGGGGCCAATACCCACTGCTTCTGTGATGGAGACTTGGTGACTTTCTCGGGAATTGAGGGAATGGTTGAGCTCAACGACTGTGCTCCCCGGTCTATCCACGTGCGGGGTAAGCCAATCCCATTCCGACTCCAGGTGCAGGGCCCAAGCCTCCACTGGGAGTGAGCACAGTCTGGCCCTTGGAATGGGCTGTCCCTCCACCTTCTTCATGGTGCAGCAGGTCTGGGACACAGACGCAAGATAGGATGGGGTGTGGGAACTACTCAGGCTCAAGGGTCATACTGACTAGACTTGATCGCCCTCAGAGGATGGGTCCCTGGAAATTGGAGACACAGCAACTTTCTCTCGGTACTTGCGTGGTGGGGCTATCACAGAAGTCAAGAGACCCAAGACTGTGAGACATGTGAGTGCAAGTGCATCCGAGGTAGGGGAGCTGGTCGCCTTGAGGGGCCCACAGCATTCTGGACTAGTCCCTGAGCCAGGTGCCCTTGCAGAAGTCCCTGCACACAGCCCTGCTCCAGCCCCATGTGGTAGCCCAGAATCCCCAGGAAGTTCACCGCGCTCACTGCTTGCATCAGGCCATCCGTGCACTGCACAAGTTTGAGCACCTCCATGGCCGACCACCCCAGCCCTGGGATCCTGTGAGTAGCCCTGTTGCCCCAACCCCCAGCCTCTGTCATTTATTGGGGTCCCACTTAGCAGAGGCAACAATGACAATTCACAGATCCAAGTTTGATCTGCTAACACTGCAGCCTCTCGAGACTGGTTCCATGGAAGTGCCAGGCACACATCCTGGGGACCCCTGCTATACTCTGACCCCTCAGATCTGTGCTGGAAGCTGCACTCAGATTAGTGAAGCCTCTTGGGCTGCTGTCTGTTGCTGGGCATCCTCTAGTGGTTCTGGCAGCAGGGCCAGGCCTTCCCACCTAGGCTTCTGCTTCCTCTTCTATGGAACAGGGTGGATGGAGGGTGGCTGGAAGGATTTGAGTACAGGGTGGAGCTCCGGGTGGGGCTACTTTGCCCACAGAGTCCTATCAACAGGTTGACGCAGAGACTGTGGTGGGCCTGGCCCAGGACCTAGAACCACTGAAGTGGACAGAGGAAGAGCAACTAGAACAGCCATTGGATGAGGCCCTAGTGCGGACAGTTGCCCTAAGCAGTGCAGGTGTCTTGAGCCCTATGGTGGCCATGCTGGGTGCAGTAGCTGCCCAGGAAGTGCTGAAGGTGGGCACAGACATGGGTGTGGGAGGTACTGGGAAGGTGTGGAGTTCAGTGTGTGTATCAGAGGGTACCCAGCGCCAGACAGCCGCCCTGGAGGCTTCACCAACCTGGGTGCAGCCTCCAGCCAGAATCTGAGGGGGTCAGGAGGCAGCAGGAATGCCCAGCCTAAAGTGCTCCCCCAGGCGATCTCCAGGACATTCATGCCTCTGGATCAATGGCTTTACTTTGACGCCCTCGATTGTCTTCCGGAAGATGGGGAGCTGCTTCCCAGTCCTGAGGACTGTTCCCCGGTGAGAGCCTTGTCCAAAATCAGGACTAGGGGAGAGGCATGAGGAATGGCCTCCAGGTCTTGATTCAGAAAACTCAGTGTAAGAAGGAGATGCAGGCCAGTAGCCACCACTGACTCCTGTCTCTGTTCCCTAGAGAGGCAGCCGCTATGATGGGCAAATTGCGGTGTTTGGGGCTGATTTTCAAGAGAAACTGAGCCGCCAGCACTACCTCCTGGTGAGCTGTGAGGTGAGGTTGGGAGTGCCTTTGGGAGGACCAGCCCAGCCCCTCTGGCTAAAGCTGTTCCTGCCAACAGGTGGGTGCTGGTGCCATTGGTTGTGAGCTGCTCAAAGGCTTTGCCCTAGTGGGACTCGGGGCTGGGAACAGCGGGCGCTTGACTGTTGCCGACATGGACCACATAGAGCTCTCCAACCTCAGCCGTCAGTTCCTCTTCAGGTCCCAGGACATTGGTGTGAGTGCTGACCCCTCCCCACACTCCTGCGTCCCAGACTGTCCTCCCATACAGCTTCCCACCCAGCATCTTCCTGCTCTCTTCCCAGAGACCCAAGGCAGAGGTAGCTGCAGCAGCTGCCCAGGGCCTGAACCCAGACTTACAGGTGATCCCACTCACCTACCCACTGGATCCTACTACAGAGGACATCTATGGGGATAACTTTTTCTCCTGTGTGGATGGCGTGGCTGCCGCCCTGGACAGTTTCCAGGCCCGTGAGTGCTTGACCTCGAAGTTCAGTCCCTTGCCTACAGCTGTGCCAGCCCCACTTCTGACCCGCTGCTCCCTTGCCAGGGCGCTATGTGGCTGCTCGCTGCACCCACTATCTGAAGCCATTGCTGGAAGCAGGCACATTGGGTACCCGGGGCAGTGCTAAAGTGTTCGTGCCACATGTGACTGAGGCCTACAGAGCCCCTGCCTCAGCTGCAGCTTCTGAGGATACCTCCTACCCTTTCTGTACCGTGCGGTACTTCCCCAGCACAGCCGAACACACCCTGCAGGTAGGGAGCACCCTGGAGACCCCCACCCCACCCAGCTCAGCCCTCAGCTGCAGACCTGTTCTCCACCTGACACCTCATTCTTCTCCCTTCTTTACAGTGGGCTCGGAATGAGTTTGAGGGACTCTTCCGACTGTCTGCAGAGACCATCAACCACCACCAACAGTAAGGCCACCAACAGGGGCAGATGGGAGTCCAGGGCTCCAAGCACAAGTCTGCAGGACTCACTCTCACACTTCCTCATCTCTCTGCAGGGCACACAGTTCCCTGACAGACATGGATGGGGCACAGACACTGACCTTACTGAAGTCAGTGTTTGGCGTCCTGAGACAGCGTCCACAGAACTGGCAAGACTGTGTGGCATGGGCTCTTGGCCACTGGGAACTCTGCTTCCATTATGGCATCAAACAGCTGCTGAGGCACCTCCCACCTAATAAAGTGTGTGGCTAGGGGTCAGGAGGCTGGGGGCTCAGGGAGACCAGACTGAGCCCAGCAGACTCTATTTACCTAGGTGCTTGAGGATGAAACTCCCTTCTGGTCGGGTCCAAAACGGTGTCCCCAGCCCTTGGAGTTTGACACTAACCAAGTGAGTGGGATTCCCTGGGGAGTTCCAAGATAGCGATGTGGCCCCTCAGAGCAGAGGTAGGCACTTCTGCATTCTGCAGAGATGCACAGATGGCCAGAGAGAGCCATGCTTGTGTACATGTGGGTGTCTACATGTGAGGCAAAGGCAGGCACTCAAATAGATCCACAAATGGACAGTGACCCCCACCCCATGCACTCATACACGCTTACGCGCACCCATGCCTGTGCTCCTGCTCTTGGTCTGGTTGCAGGACACGCACCTCCTCTACATATGGGCAGCTGCTAACCTGTATGCCCAGATGCATGGGCTGCCTGACTCACGGGACTCGACTGCACTCAGGGAGCTGCTGAAGTTGCTGCGACAGCCTGACCCACAACAAATGGTCCCCATCTTTCCTAGTAACCCAGAGCTGGCTTCGGCTTCTGCTGAGTTTGGTGAGGCTCCTGGCCCTGGCCCCCATGCTGTCATTCAAGGGCTTGAACCTGTCCTGTCCTCAGCCTGTGCTGCAGAAGGAAGATAGGGCCTAGGGGACCTACAGCCAATTCACTATCTCTCAGGCCTTCTATCTCACTCCTCCGTAGGTTTAGGCTTATCCTCAGGTCTCTCAGTAGGTCTTCTTCCTGCTGCCTACCCCACATCCCAGTTCTTGTGGCAGATTCTTGGCAAAATAAATAAATAAAATCCATTGGTTCCTGGGGAGTGCCTAGCTATGGCCCACAGGTGAGGACAGAGTCACAGAGGTGCATGCACACACACAGGTGAAGACCGGGGCTTCTAGAGAGAATACTGTAGCATTAATTAAGGGGGCTTCTTGATTTGATGAAGGAATAATAAGTGACAGCCTTGGCAGAGACCAAGAATAGGCACAGGGTTCCAAGAAGAGTGCAGGACACAGGGGCTAAGAACTGTCCCTACATCCCCTCCCCTGACAGGCCCTGAGCAGTTGAAGGAACTGAACAAAGCCTTGGAAGTCTGGAGCACGGGCCCTCCCTTGAAGCCTCTGATGTTTGAGAAGGTGGGAGCCCAAGTGGCAGTGAGGAGTTGGGCTGGGGAGTTTGTGGAGAAAGGTCAGGAGCCAAGAAGGTAGTTTTGGAGCCCCTTGGCCTGAGTTCTCCCAGCAATGCCCTGGAAGCAGCTCACCTTCCCTGAACCTCAGCCTGTCTGATCAAGGGGGGATGGAGGTCACCACCCAGAATTGTATGGAGACCTGTGCAGTGGCACACAGTTGGCCATGGTGAGGGGTACAGCTGCAGTATTAACACTACTTTGACTTGGGCCTTACAGGATGATGACAGCAACTTCCATGTGGACTTTGTGGCAGCGGCAGCTAGCTTGCGATGTCAGAACTATGGGATTCCACCAGTCAACCGAGCCCAGGTAACCCCACCCCTTGAGGCTCAGGCCTGGAGGTGGGGGCCAAACCCTGGCCCTATGCCTCGGGCCCAGACCAAATCTCTTGTCCTTGGCAGAGCAAGCTAATCGTGGGCCAGATTATCCCAGCCATTGCCACCACTACAGCAGCTGTGGCAGGCCTAGTGATCCTGGAACTGTATAAGGTGGTGGGTGGGCCACGACCTCGTAGTGCCTTTCGCCACAGCTACCTACATCTGGCTGAAAACTACTTCATCCGCTATATGCCTTTTGCCCCAGCCATCCAGATGGTGAGCCCATGATACCTCACCCTTAGCCCCACTAGGACTGGGCTTCCCCTGCACCTACCCACACAGGCCCCAATCTAGCTGCTGGCTCTCATTGAGACTCAGACTGTGCAGGAGTCCTTAAGATTCCCTCCAGCCCTCTTCCTGCTATGAAGCCAGGCTGAGACCTGTCAGACACAGGAAGCAACCGTCAGCCATCCCCACCCCCAACCCTCCAAAGCCCAGGATCTAGGGGAGCCGCAGCTTTAACTCATTAGTGGAGTCAGACATTCCCCACAGTTCCCTCCTTCCCTGGAGTACCCCTGAGGGGTAGGTGGTGGGGAGGGGACCAGGGCCTCAGCCCCAGAAAGGGTCTAGCTTTCCCCTGCATGGCACAGGGGCCCTGGCCTACCTTCTGCCAGCTGAATTAAAGGGTAACAGGCTTGCACTAGAGGTGTGGGGTCTGCAGCCCTGAGTGTATTTGTATCACAGGTGTGAGTGCAACTGGGGTCTGGGCGTCCCTGGTGTGTGGGCATGGAAGGAGCAAGCTTGCACATCTGTGTGCCAGATGGGAGTGCAGGGCTCCCATCTTCCTGTGTCCTTAATGTGGCATGTGTGGATATGCATGTGGGTACACGTGTGTGTGTTCCTGGGCTTGTGGGCATGTGTTTCTGTGACTGCAGGGCTGTAAATGTCTCCAGCCATGTTCCTAGGCTCTGCAGTTGGCATTTCCTTGGGGCACAGGACAGGGGTAGAAGGAATGCCCTCACAAGGGAGAGGGCAGAGGTCATGGGCCAGCACTGGGCTTCTGCAGAGCAGCCTGGGGTCCCTCTGGACATAGCACACAGAGCCCCTTTGTGAGTCGCCCTGCCTCTAACCAGCACACAGGCTGTCTTTGTTCATGGATTGGAGCTGGTGAAGGAGAAGCCCCCATCTCACCTCTAGCCTAGTCTCAGCTTGACCTCAGTGTGTTTTCTCGGGGGCTGGTAGGACCCCCTAATCCTGGTCTCTAGATACCTGCCAGCCACCCTTCTGTCCTCAGCTCTAGGTACCAGAACCCCAAGACTCTTGGAAGGAAAGGGGAGAGCAGGAGGAAGGCTTTATGCACTGTATCCCTGCTGGGGTCTCTGGGACAGTGGAGCCCTGGTGATCACTATGCCCTTTGCCCCTGTGTCCCGATGAGTAGCCCAAGGCCCTGGCAGTACAAGATGGGGGGACAGGATGTGCCCCCCAGCTCCCAGCCTTGTCTTTGAGGAACAAGCAGCTTTATCAGAGGCTGCAGAGGCCCTGCTCTGGGTTTCCTCAGGAAGCACCACCCCCTCATCCCCCACCCTCATGACCGGCCCATGTGATGGATTGTCTGTTTCCCTGTGTGGGCCCCATAGCCCCATTTCCTGTGCTGGCCCCGGCCTGGGCAGGGAGGGGGCTGAGACTCTGGGCCCAGATCCCACCTCTTCCCCCACCCCTGGCTCCTGCTTCCTGCTAGTCCAGCTCTTCCCCTAGGAAAGGCTGCTGGTAACTGGGATGGGGGTAGGGGGGAGGTAATAAGTCTCTCACTACTCCCCTACCTCACCCCAGTTCCATCACCTGAAGTGGACCTGTTGGGACCGTCTGAAGGTATCAGCTGGGCAGCCTGAGAGGACCCTGGAGTCGCTGCTGGCTCATCTTCAGGTGTGCCCTGTCCCTACCCCACCCCCTAGGCTCAGCCCAGCCTGGCCCAGTTGGTTTCTGACCTTTCTCCCTCTAGGAGCAGCACGGTTTGAGGGTGAGGATGCTGCTGCACCACCCAGCCCTGCTCTATTCAGCCAGATGGTCGCCTGAAAAGCAGGCCCAGTGCCTGCCCCTCAGGTGAGCCCACTCGGGGCTTTAGACAGGCCCCACCAGTCCCTGGAGGCTGGGGCTGGGGGCCACACAGCCTTTCATCTTCCCAGCCCCATTCTGGGCCCCTCACACCTCCCCAAGCATTCTTTCACCAAATGGAGCCAGCAAATGGGCTGGGGGTGGGGTGAGGGCTGAGAGCCTGAGGAGGAGCCTTCAGGAGCTGCCTATTTGGCCAGCCCCACAGGCTCCCCACATGCTGTACAGCCCCCTTCACAGCCCACCCCCAAGGGACCCACAGCTTCCTGCCTCCCGCTTGCCTCACCAGCTGCTCCTAAAATAGTTTCAGATGTTTCCTGTCTTGAGCGTCTCCTGCTCCTGGCTTGGGCTCCTAATGGCCCGCCAGCACCCTCCCTAGTCCATGCCAGGCTGCCCTCTGCTTGCCATTGCTCACCTCTCCAATCTTCCCTAAACCCCACCCCCACCAGAGTGACAGAACTGGTTCAGCGGGTGACAGGCCAGAAACCTACTCCTGGGCCGCGAGTGTTGGTGCTGCAGCTGAGCTGTGAGGATGAGGAGGAGGACACTGCCTTCCCACCTCTGCACTATGAGCTGTGACAAGGCAGCCACCACATCACCTAGCTCGATGGAGCCCTGCATCCCAAGCCCTCCATTGTAAGCCCACAGTAGGCACTCAATAAATGCTGTTGAAGGAAGGCATAGTGGAAAGGATGGATGGTAGAACACAATGCAGTAATGCACACGGGTGTGACACGGGCAAGACAGGGACCCTCACACGGAAACAAAAAGCTCTTCAGAAGATTCGTATGCCTGGGCTGTGCCTCACAGGGCTGGGGCTGCCTCTTAGCGCCTCAGGGGTATGGAACCAGGACAGTCTAGAAAAAAGGCTTTTATTGTCCCAGGCTGGAGGGCAGGGTCAGAGGTAGCTGACATCATTGCAGATGATGGGCTGTCGGCTTCGGCAGCTCATGAGGGCTGCAAAACGTGAGACGTCTGTAGGCAGTTCAGTTTCTGGGCGAGGTGGGCATGACAGTCGCTTTCCTGCCATAGCTGTCTGCCGAGCCCTGGCCAGCCGGCGACGAAGCTGCTCAGAGAGGCCAAGTAGGAACTGAGGGGGTCGAGCACGGGCACGGGGCCCACCTCCATCACCCCCTTCACTCCCTGCCTCAGGCAGCTCCATCCAATTGTGCACCAAGTCAGCAAAGCAATTGTCCCCCAGTACCAGGGGCTGGCGACTGCGACCCCTGTTCAGTAGGGCTGCTGTCCAGTCCTCTGCTTCCAGTCCCTGCCAGTGCTCCAGGCAGGCATCTGGGGTGGACTTGGGCCGTGGACGGTGGCTAGGTGGTGCACTGGCTACTGGGGCTCTGCCAGCCATGGGGAGGCCACTGACTGAGAGGCGCTGCCTACGAAGGGGCTGTGCTGAGGGTGCTGGGCGCTGGGGTGCAGGCAGTTCTTCCTCTCGCCATGTGCTGCCCGACACCTCGGAGAAGCCAGAGTCCCAGTCCAGGGCATGCTCCCTGGGGCCTCCCAAGGCTGCATCCCTGTCTTCTGTCACCACTGCTTCCTCCTCTTCCTCCTCCTCCACACAGCAGACTGAGTCCTCTTCCAAGGCACCTGAGGCCCTAAGCTGGTGGCTGGGCTGCACATCTGGGCCAGTTTGGGGGGTTGGCTGCAGGGAGCCAGGCATTGGGGGTGAGCCTGTGTCCCGGCCACACAGCTGAGGGGAAGAGAGGGTAGAAGTCAGAGAGGTATCACTTGTCACCCCTTCCTGCCTGCCTGCCAGGCCAGTCCAGAGAAGAGAGGGTCCAGGAAGCTTGGATAGGCCTGCTGGCCTGGGCAGCCGGGTGCTAGTGAGCACAGGGCAGGCATGGGGGTGCTGGCACTTGAAGCTGGTGTGGTTCTCATCCACCGACCTGGTGGCAGTCCGGCAGGCTGCAGCACGTAGGGCCGGGCAAGTCGGCACACGCCACCAGGGCCGGCGGGCGGGCAGGCAGGCAGGGTTGCGGGCCTGAACGGGTAAGTAGGTCTTGCCCAGGACTGGAGGGGCATCCAATGCCTATTGGGGGATTCAGTTCCCCAAAGCGTCTTTCAGAGAAAGATCCCTTGCTAACTGAGGGGTAGAAGAGGCACAAATCAGCCTGAAGTAGGGGGCGTTCACAGCAGCGCCAGCACCTCGTGAGTCCCTTGCCGCCCCATGCCCCGTCCCCAAAGAAGTCCCCTTTCTACTCTCTCCTCCTGCGCAGTTCCAGCAGCACGGCCAGCTGGGTGCTGTTACCTGATGCCCAGCGCAGTTCCCAACTGTCCGAAACCCGACACGGGCCATCTGGGCCATAGGCGCCGCGCCGCCCCCACCCTGCCTCGGACTGGCACACTAGCCACCCCGCACCCGTTTGGTGTTCGGGCCGGGCGGCAGCCTGGCACCCCGCACGCGTCCTCACGAACCGCACCCGCTCCCAAGCCTCACCAGTTCCCAGCGGAGCTGGCTGAGGAAGCTGTCAAGCCGAGCGCTGTGCATGTCCGTGCCGAGATCCCCACCGAGCCTGCCAGCTCCTCTCGGAACCCCGGCGGAGCGACGCTGAGAGGGCTGGGCTGGCCGGCCAGCGGCGCCCTCAGCCTCCGCCTGGCTGCGCGGCTCCTCGCTCTCCGTAGCTCCAGCCGCCGCCGCCCCGACATCTGGCATCAGCGCCCCGCCCCAGCCCCGCGGCCAAACGGGGCGGGGCTAAAGCCCTGCATCCCTCCCGACTCCGCCGCGGCTCTTGCGGGGAAGGGCGGGGTCGTAGCTGGAAGTCGGACGGGGTCGGGCCGGGGACCTTCAATCCCCTGACAGTTGAGCAGACCCTGCGTTTGCTGCATGACGCAGGGCAGGTCGCCTTATTGTGGGGGCCTCACCCTCCCCATTTATTCTATGGTGGAATAGCGGTCCCTCCCACGGGGCGCCGTGCTGCGCCCGCTTGTAGGCAGAGCGCCAAGGATGGTCGGACCCAGAGAGGTTGTGGCCCACTAGGGGTCTGACCCACGGGACCCGTTCCTGAGGCTGGCTTTGGCACTCCGTGGACGGGATGGAAGTGGGGTTCGGCCCGTCTGAGGATTCAGAGAGCGCGGGATTTTGTGGCAGCGCATCCGCGGGGCCTCAGTCGCGTCCCAACCAAGCTAGACGGGACTGCCCTCTGGTGGGGAGTGCTCGGCTAGCCACGAGTCCAGCGGCGACACGCGACCATAGGCATTCCCTCTGCCGGTACCAGGTGCAAGCTGAGGGTCGGTGCAGGGGTGAGCCTGTCTCCTGAGGCTGCTCTATTATCGCAGGCTGGGTTTAAGGGTAGCGTAGCTGCAGACAGACTGGACACACCAGCAACAGGAAAATACGAGGGAAGGAGGGCTATGGGCTAGCCTGGGGAAGGACAGTCTCAGGAGGTGACATCAGGATGCAATCAAGAAGAGGGGCATTCTAGACAGAAGAAGCAGCCAGGGAGAAGATCCCGAGGGACAGGAACGGTACATAAAGAAGGTCCAGATGTCTGTGATTGGTGGTGGTGGTGGCAGAAAGGAAAAGGTTAGCAAAACCAGGCACCAACGGCCTTATAGCAGAATGTGGGTTATGTTCTTGGTGTGATGAGGAGCAATGGGGGCCTTTGAGCAGGAATCACCTGGGCTAGCCCTTGTTTAGATAATTCCAGCTGCTTTCAGAAAAGGATTCTGCAATGAGTGGAGGCCCCTGCCCTCATGCAGGCAAGGAAGGGGAAGGCCTAGGCCTGGGCAGGGCAAGTGCACTGAAGGGGGTCACTTTGGGGTATGTTTTGGAGCCAAAATCAGTCTTGCTGATGCATGGATGTGGGCAGGAAAAGAGAGGCATCAAGCATGACTCCTACATTTCTGGCATTAACAGCTGGTTGGATGAAATTGCCATAAACTGATCTGGGAAAGACTGGATTCAGTGATCATTTATGGACATGTAACCCTTGAGATGCCTGTTAGACATCCAACAGTAGTTGCAGGGTCAGCCGCTAGGTGTATGACTCTAGACTTCAGGAGAGCGATCAGCACTGGAGCCTTGGATCTGGGAGGCATAGGACAGAATGGATGATATGTAAGGCCATAGGCCTGGATGAGGTGGGGTGGGAGATGAATGCAGACAGAGGGGGACAGCAACCAAGATTGTGCCCTGGAACATTCCACGAGGTGGAAATAGGGGAGATATGAAGCAGAACTATCAAAGAGGCTGAGCAGGAACAGCCAGGAGAAATATGAGAGTGTAGGGACTCAGGAGCCAAGGGGAACAAGCATTGAATGCTGCCAAGGCAGTGAGGATGAAGAACAAACCACTGAATTCTGCAGTGCATGGGTCATTGGGAACCCTGACAAGGGAAGTTTTGTGTAGAGATGGACAAGCCTTATTAGAGTGTGTAGAGAAAAGAGTGAGGGCTGAAGAACTGGAGACAGATAATGAAGACAACTTTTTTTTTTGAGACAGCACCTCACTCTGTTGCCCAGGCTGGAGTGTGGTAGCACGATCTTGGCTCACTGCAGCCTCGATCTCTGGGGCTTAAGTGACCCTCCTATCTCAGCCTCCTGAGTAGCTGGGACTATAGGCATGTGTCACCACACCCAGCTAATTTTTAGTATTTTTTTAATAGAGATGGGGTTCCCCATGTTGTCCAGGCTGGTCTCGAATTTCTGAGCTCAAACGATCCTCCTGCCTCAGCCTCCCATACAGGCATGCGCCACCATGCCTGGGTAGAAAACTTTTAAAAAATTAACATAGACCGGGCGCGGTGGCTCACACCTGTAATCCCAGCACTTTGGGAGGCCGAGGCAGGTGGATCACAAGGTCAAGAGTTCGAGACCACCCTGGCCAACATAGTGAAACCCCGTCTCTACTAAAAATACAAAAATTAGCTGGGTGCAGTGGCAAGCACCTGTAATCTCAGCTACTCAGGAAGCAGAGGCAGGAGAATCACTTGAACCCAGGAGGTGGAGATTGCAGTAAGCCGAGATCATGCCACTTCACTCCAGCTTGGGTGACAGAGCGAGATTCCATCTCAAAAAAATAAAAAACAAACAAACAAAAACCTGACATATGGCTAGGCACGGTGACTCATGACTGTAATACCAGCACTTTGGGAGGCCGAGGCGGATGGATCACGAAGTCAGGAGTTCAAGACCAGCCTGGCCAAGATGATAAAACCCCATCTCTACTAAAAATACAAAAAAAAAAAAAAATTAGCTGGGTGTGGTGGTGGGCGCCTGTAATCCCAGTTACTTGAAAGGCTGAGGCAGAGAATTGCTTGAACCCAGGAGGCAGAAGTTGCAGTGAGCTGAGATTGTGCCACTGCATTCCAGCCTGGGAGACAGATTTAGACTCCATCTCAAAAAAAAAAAAAAAAAAAGACATAATATAAACACAATAGATGAACAAATTTGAAAGTTACAGTTCTATAAATGTATCTGTAGACAGTTGTGCAACTGCCACCCAGATAAAGATATAGAACTGCCTCAGCAACTCCTGGAAGCCAACTGGTGCCCTATCCAATTGATATTCTCAAAGGTAAACAGTATTTGTATTTCTATCATAAAGGATTCCTTTTGTTTGTTGGATGTAGACAACTTTTTTTTTTTTTTTTTTTTGACAGGGTCTTGCTCTGCCACTTAGGTTGGAGTACAGTGGCACAATCATGGCTCACTGCAGCCTCGATCTCTTGGAGTTCAAGCAATCTTCCTACTTCAGCCTCCTGAATGGCTGGGACTATAGGCCTGCACCACCATATCCAACTAATTTTTTGTAGAGATAGGGGTTTCACTTTGTTGCCCAGGCTGATATTGAACCGCTGAGCTCAAGTGATTTTCCCACCTCAGCTTCCCAAAGTGCTGGGATTACAGATATGAGCCACCACACCCAGCAAATTTTGAGAGATTTTGTTGATGGTTGGGCTCGTATTTTATAGACAGATAATGTTCTAATGGAGGGGGTCCAGATGGAGTTGAGACTCTGTGGGTTAGCAGGTCCTGGGCCCAATTTTCCTGGGTGCTGTGCTTGCTCTATCTCCAAGGATTGGATGACCAGTTTCCTCATCTGAACCTCAATCCTCCTCCACTTCCATGCCCTTGGAGTTGTAGTAATGAAGCGGCAATGGAAAATGGGATATTCTGAGCCTCTGGAAGCTTGCCAGGGGGCTAGAACTCAGTCACCAGGGATGGGTGGGGCTAGAATCCGGGAGGCCCAGGAATCCCGCCTGCCCAGCTATGTTTGAGCAACTGACCTGGCAACAGGGTAGGTCAGACAAACAGCCTAGCTTTCTGAAGCCTCCTCTGCTGTCTCTGTCTTCAGGTCATCATGGTGCTGCTCAGGCTCCTCGTGCTCCTCTTTGCTCTGGTGGTCTCTGGTAAGGAGGTAGTGGGTGGGGGAACCCTAGTTTCCCCTTGATATCCTGACCTTCCTAAATAAGCTACCATAGAGGACAGGGGTTGGGGGAGAGGTAGGAAAGTATAAGAATCTGAACCCCTGGCCCTCATCCCTTATCTTGGCTGCTTCCTCAAACAAGTTCTCACTCCCCATCTGTGAAATGTTGGATGCTGGGTACAAGGAAAGACCTTAGCTGCTTGGCCCCAAGGTGTGGCCAGGCTCTGTGGCAAAAAGACAGAACTATGCTAGTATGTGTGGTTCCATCAGCCTGGGGAGCCTCCAGCCTGAATTCTCTGCTTTTCACAGACCTCCACAGCCTGCCCTGGTTTATAAATGTCTCTGAGAGCCAGGGCCCTGGCACAGTCCTTCAGTTTTTCTCCTTCAATTGCTCCTCCTACACACCCACACCCACCCTGGAGTTGCTCAATGTCCAGCCACCCACCACCTTCTTCAACCCACCCAGCTTGGCCAGGTGGCAAGGGACCTATGTGGGCAAGGTAAGGTCATGTGTACAACTGGGGACTGTGGGGGCAAAAGGGCAGACCTAAAATTTCCAAGCTCCACATGGGCACTGCCTACCCACCACAGTTGACCTTGAGCAGCTCTGCTCGACTGGATGCCCTGATGGTGAACCACTACAAGCTGTGGCTGAAGTTTACATGCGGCAACTATGTGACGGAGGGACCACTGTTTGTGGATGTGCAGCGGGACCTTAGCCATATCCAGTGTGCTGGTCAATTTGCCAGTCCAGGTGAGGCCAGGGGCAGTCAGTAGGAGGTGGGCAGGCATGGCCCAAACAGATCCTCCCTGACTTCCCCTCTGGCCAGCTGGGGAAATGATTCGGGTGCCAGAGACAGTCAGACCTGGGGCTCGGCTGTACATTCTGCTCCTCCCAGGCCTGGAACTCCACAGAGCCCAGGTGAGCCTAGAACATGGGATGGTGGGTGACAGGATGGGGGCTGGGGGGATGGAGAGAGTAAATTAATCCTGCCTGGCCAGGCACAGCCTGCAGAGGAACCTTGCAGCAAAGGCATAGATGAGCCTCTACATGATGCATGTTCTCGGAGAGCACTGCTGAGGGCTGCTCACCCCCAGTGACCATGGCTGTTCCCACAGGGACATCTCAGGGGCTGAGTTTCTTCTTTCAAGATCTGCTATGTGTTCTCAGTTCTCTATGACAATTTTGCATTACTGCTGTTAAAAAAAAAAAAAAACAGGTAATGGCCAGGCACAGTAGCTCACACCTGTAATCCCAGCACTTTGGGGCCTGAGGCAGGCAGCCTCAGGAGTTTGAGACCAGCCTGGCCATTGTAGTGAGGCTCTGTCTCTACTAAAAATACAAAAAAAAAAA